TTCTATTTGCAAGTCAAAAAGGACACCCAATTGCTAAATTAGTTGGCGAAATCCCATGCAGTGCGGGAAGAGAAGAGAATTTCTAAAGAGAAAGGGATTCAACTATTTGTGTTTGCCTGAAGTGCAACATTCGTGGTCACCACTGCCCCTGCAACCTCATAGGCAATTTCCCCAGCCTGATTTAGAGTGTTCAATTTGGCAGGGATACCTATTGATAACCCACACTTCTGCTGCTAAGTTTTCAATAAGTCCACAGCCTCTATAACTCGGAACTATTTTGCCACCAGGACGGATGGCCTAAAGTCAAATTCTGCTTCCGAATTGAAATTACAGAGAGAAAATCAGAGAGAAATTCACCAACAACATGCCTGATGTGATCGTACATTTGATTTTTCAGTGACTTTAAGAGCAGCATATAGGTTTGCATTTGTTATCTGTGATTGAATCAGGAACTGCAAGAAAAAAAAAATCTGTCAAGAAGTGAAAACCTGACAAAAGAAAGTGTCATGTCAACAAGTACTTTGTACTGTGAATTTATGAATAAGCCATTTTGTTATCACTTGGTCAGTACCATGATTGGATTTTAAAAGGTGCCTAGGGGAGGCCATGGTATTATCACTGGATTGTTAATCCAGAGACCCAGATAATGTTCTGTGGACCTGGGTTCGAATCCCACCATGGCAGATGGTGGAATTTGAATTCAATAATAAAAATCTGGAATTAAGAACCTAATGATGACCATGAATCTATTGCTGATTGTTGGAAAAACCTATCTGGTTCACTAATGTCCTTTAGGGAAGGAAACTGCCATCCTTACCTGGTCTGGCCTACATGTGACTCCAGACCCACAGCAATGTGGTTGACTCTGAACTGCCTCTGGATAATTAGGGACAGGCAATAAATGCTGGCCAGTGATGCCCTTATCCCATGAATGAATAAAGATTAAAAAAAATGAACCAAAATGTTGTCTAATCCAATTGATTGCACAATATTTTCCACATTGTTTCACTGTAATCTTAATGAACATTCTACTTCAATCATTAGCAGTTTAACTCATTATCTGTTACATAAAATACTTCCTTCAGAGTCAAAGCATTAATCTCAGCTGCCCAATCAGAAAATAGAATCAGAGCCATACAGCGTGGAAACAGACCCTTAGGTCAAACCAATCCATGCCGACCATGTTCCCAAGCCAAATTAGTCCAACCTGGTTGCACTTGGCCTATATCCCTGCTAACTTTTCCTTTCATGTACTTATCCAAAATGTCTTTTAAACATTGTAATTGTACCCACATCCACCACTTCCTTGAGCAGTTCAATTCTACACACTAACCTCTCTGAAAAAGTTGCCTCTCATGTCTTTCTTCTTTCTCCTCTCAACTTAAAAATATGGTCCCTAGTTTTGAACCATTCCACTAACCCCTCCCCCTCCCCCCCCAACCAACCTTAGGGAAAAGACCCTGGTCATTCACCTTATCCCTGTCCCTCATGATTTTATAAACCTTAATAAAAGGTCACCCCTCAACCTCCTATGCTCCAGCGTGAAAAAAATAGTCCCAGCCTTTGCAGTCTATTTTTAATATCTCAAACCGTCCATTCCCAAAATCTCATGAAAGATATATCGCTGCCCAATCCTAAAATCTCATGAAAGATGTATTGCACAAATTTCCTTGGTTTTTAAAATGTCTTCAGCCACTTTAAGTCATTCATTGGATGTGGATGCCACTGGGTAGGTCAGCATTTATTGCTGGAACTTAATTGTTAAGAGTAAACAACATTGCTGTGGGTCTGGAGTCACTCGTAGACCAGACGAAGTAAGGGTGGCAGTTTCTTTCCTGAAGGACACTGGTGAACTAGATGGGCTTCCCTCCCCCTGCAACAATCAACAATGGTTTCATGGTCATCATTAGGCTCAATTCCAGATATTTTTTAAAAAAAAATTGAATTCAAATTCTACTATTTGCCACAGCAGGACTCAAATCCACAGAATAAATACAGATAATCAATTGTTACTGCCAAAAATAAAGAGGTTTTTTTTTTTTTTTTTTTTAAGCTGAGACTCTGCTGCTAGCTGTAAGCATTCCCGAATTGCTCTTTGCGGTTTGTAACAGGAAGCTCGTGGCTGGGAGATTGACAGCAAAATTGGTCAAAAGGTAACTATGGTACTTTTACCTGATTAGATCAGAAACAAGTGATGGAAATTATAGGACAAGGTGGCTGGGCAAGCTTCCCACCAACAAGGATAGTCAGTTGGGAGATGACTAGTTCGTTGGAAGTTCACCCCCATAGTGACAAGCCGCTGAGAGTGGACTAATTTGCCTAATTGCAAGACTGCAGCCCACCCACCACCCCCCGCCCAATTGAAATGGATTCCTGCCCCCAGACTTGCTAACCAAAGTCATAGCGCTGGAGCTGTTGGGACAACAAGTCAAGTAGGCCCATGGGGAGGTCCAATTGAACCTAACTTTAAGCAAGGCCGAGGTCTTGGTACAGGGAGGATTTGGAAGTTTTAAGGTGGTGGGTTGGGGCATAGACAATAGGAAGGAAAGGTTGCCACTATCTTCAGAGGAAGTGTCACTGATGGGTAAAGGATAGCTGCTAAAGACCCACTTCCTGACTGCTGTTTTATAAAAGGTGACTCTAAAAGAAAGCATTGCATTCCCATCCATCTGCCAACAGGAACCATATTTTGGTGCTGGCAACACAGTTATCAATATACAGGTCCCTTTTTTTAGAAAAGGACATAGTGGACAGGCTGCCGATTTTGGGGATGAGAATATGGAAATGCTAGCCACCCCTGCTATTGGAAGATAAACTGCTTCAAAAAGGAGATGCACAAGAATAATAAAGCCTTTAAATCTCTATTCCACACAGAGTAGAATGCATCATAAGAATCTTTGTTATGCCTAGGGCTGTCTCCACGGTTTGCTGGAGGTTATCTTCATATGATCTTCCTGTTTTCATAATTCCCACAATGATCTTCCCTCAAGCAACCCAAATGAAGTCATCATTACAGTAGATTGATTTCCCATACCAATTGGAAAGTGAACACCCAAATGGATGGTTTTCCACCAACCCCATTCCTGGTTTAGGACAATGGTTAGGCCACTTTTGGAGCAGTGTGTGCAGTTCTGGTCTCCCTGCTATAGGGCAGATGTTGTGAAACTTGAAAGGGTTCAGAAAAGATTTACAAGGATGTTGCCAGGGTCAAAGGGTTTGAGCTGTAGGGAAGAGGCAGAATAGGCTGAGACTATTCTCCCTGGAGCATCGGAGGCTGAGGGGTGACCTTATGGACGTTTATAAAATCATGAGAGGCATGGATAGGGTAAATATACAAGGTCTTTTCCCCAGAGTGGGGCAGGGTGGGGTGGGAAGAGAAGGAGTCCCAAACCAGAGGGCATAGGTTTAAGGTGAGAGGGGAAAGTTTTAAAAGGGACCTAAGCAGCAACTTTTTCCAGCGTGGTGCATATATGGATTGAGCTACCAGAGGAAGTGGTGGTGCTAATACAATTACAACATTTTAGAGGCATTTGGATGAGTATATGAGTAAGAAGGGTTTAAGAGGGATATGGGCCAAATGATGCTAGATTATTTTAGGAAATCTGGTCGTGATGAACAAGTTGGACCAAAGAGTCTGTTTCTCTGCTGTATATCTTAATGACTCAAAATCAATTAGAGGGCTCTTGTCTGTAATGGTAATATCCCTACCATTAGGCCAGGGTACACGAGCTCATGTCCTATTTCCACCAGAGATATCTCATAACATCTGTAAACGTTGGTTAAAAATACAATTTTCACTGAACACCTTCAATTATAACAACTTTTTAAAAGGCAGTTAAAAGAAGTGTTTCCCAAAGGTTGAAGATTAATCTTTCATTTTTAAATAGAATCCCAGACAAACTTGGAAGGTTGGCAACTGTAGTGAAGTTTTTCAACTCAATTTTACATCTCAGTCGCTCACCTTGTTTCTGCGATTTGGTGAGTAAAGGCTTTGAGTTCCCATTGCAGATGTTATGGCTTAGCTGCAAAATTCCTGAGGAAATTGACTTTTCCCCAAAGAAATGCCACTGAGGGGAGACCACACCGAAGTTTCAAATTCTGCACCTTCATAAAAGGGCCTTTGTTTAAACACTTATTAGAAAAAGGAATGGGGGAGGGAGATTGGAAGAGGTTCACAAGGTTAAATTAGAAGATGCAGGGTACCACATTGCCTGGACTAATTAGCCTCTGCTGACCTTTCAGTGTAATTTGTTGTATCTCCTTGCAGCAGTATCTGTGCCAGGTAAGCAAGACGATTAAATAAAGCCAAATATTTTTTTTTCCACGCCTGTCCGAGTATACAGCACAGCGCACGGTAAGAAGACACTCTAACATCTGGATCTATGTATAGAATTCTGACCGAAAAATACTGTTACACAGCAGGGAACTCACAGATTATAGAACTCTACCTCAAATTATAATTTTTTGAAGTCTCTAGTTGCAAAGTTGTTAACAGTTGCCTTTCAACCAGTGTTACTACTGCGCTGCATAGCAATCTGCTTCAGTTAAAATAAATTTCTTTTAATAGAAAGGGAGATACTTTTGTGAAAGATTTCCAGGTACTTCCCTATCCTTCTCATTTCCAGTCAGCATTCTTATATCAGTGTCTGACTATTTTGTAATATTCTGACATATTTGTACATCAGGTAAGCTGATAGTAATGCCCTTAAAACTAATTGCTGGGAGAAAAAAGATTGTAAATCTTTCTCTCTTTGTTTGGAGGAAAGTGTGCTACTCATAGTTCCTCCCCTCTCCCGATCTCTCGGGTGTAGACGCTTACAGTGCAGACTAAACACACATTACCTGAGGTCAATCCACCTTTTAAAATCATTCAATAACGAGTAGAAATAACAGAAACAATGACTTCAGACAAAATCCCTGGCGGAACTAGTTTTAACTGCGGGCGATCGGATCGTTAACAACTTAAAACAGCAGTGTTTAAGTGGCAGCAGAACTCTTACCTTAGGCTGTGCGTGATGCGAGGAAAGATGCTCACTACAGCAGCGAACTGGGAAAATGTTCTGCTCGGCCCCTGCCAGCAATTTATTTGGCTTATATGCGCAAATGGGAGGAGCTGTTCACTAGCAGGAGGTGGGCAATTGAGAAGGCAGACAAGTAGTTTGACGGGCACACTGAAAACATACAGAACCTCTACTTTTTGGAGAGAGAGACAGAGAAGAGCTAAAGGTACAGAACAGCTAAGAAAGCGGTAAAGAAATGAAGAGGAACGTTTCTGTGTAAAAAAAATAAATGCGTTACGCTGTTGATTGATTTAGAAGCACTTTAATGTTATGAACACAAACATTCCTTTGCTCCCTCCCATGCATTGCCACAACCGATTCGAAGCAGCTCCGTTACATTTTTTGTTCAACGAGCAGCTGCAGGTTTTACATGCTTGCGTCCGTTCGATTCGTAACTGCTTTGGAAAGAATACTTTGTAACGAAAATGAAGTAAAATACTATTGAAATATTTTCGTCCAAAAATTCAAACAAAATAGGCTGTCTCTGACTCATGGAATCAAAATGAAATAAGCAATAGCATTTAATCGAAATATGTTTATCGGTGATTGAACTAACGATTCAATTAAGCTCTGTATACATGTGACAACAATGGAACCGCAATGGGTGTTATGATTTGATGTACTTAAAGTATCGTAATAGTGTTATTTTTCTGCACATTTACAAAATTAATTATTCATAAAATTAATGAAACTCATTGCATGGAAATGTCTCCTAAAACATGATTGTCACGTTATTACATTTAACGTATCTTATAGTTTTAATTTTAAAATACACAGTTTGGTTCATCAGCTAATATTGCAGAAATTACCCTTTTTCCCCACTAACTATTGTAAGCGTTTATAGAACCCAAAGTTTTACTGTAAATGCCCGTATTGGCTGACAAAATAGAAGGAATTACCTGTCAATATGTGTGCAAAGACTTTAATGAGAGATTATGGCAGGCATTTCAACTGAAAGTGAATGATTTTGTGTCGTTTCTTACACATAGTAAACTATCAGTAACCCACCAACTTAATTCTATTATTTTCCCCATTTACCCACAGTACAATATATATGCAGTAAACCCCGTGGGGTAGGCAGGTTAGGCTATTTGAATATATTAAGTATGTATTGAGTGTCCTTTAGCCCTGATTAATTATTTATACATACATTTACTCATTGTATTGCAATGTTACTGTACCACACCTGTACACCAGAGAGTTATTCAACCTGGACCATATTGCTTCATTGCTGTAGGCCTTAACTTCTATTACTTAATAGTATCTGATCTGATAGGGCAGTGAAGTTGCCCCTGTATTAATCTTTAATGGATTCCTCTGAAGTCAAATCTTCTTTGGAATGTAGTATATCTGACAGACTCATGAATAATTCTAACAGTGATTCTGTCTCTAATGAGTTGTAATTTCAAAGTTCCATTTATGCAGTTTTCCACCATTCTGTGGAAATCTTTATGAATTTATCTATGGATTCTTCTGGATGGTTAAATTTTGCTCTTTCAAGCATATTATTGATTCTCAGATTAAAGTTCTTATAAAAAATCATCTGAACTTCTTTGAAAGTACCTGCGTTTTCTTTTATATTTTGGTGATTTATAGCATCATCAGCAATACACCCCATTGAATACAATTGTTTACTTGTGCACCTTAAGATTTACTATGCAATTTTGAAGCAATTCATATTAAAAACTGTTTTCTTCAAGATGTCTAATCCTGTGGTTTATTTAGACAATCTCTGACAATAAATTTTTGAGGTGGTATTATTACTTCTGTTTTCTTAATGCGATTATTTATTCTTTAAAGCTATTTTACATTAGTAGCATCTTAATATTGTAATTTTCTGGCATTTAATATTGCTGTATCTCAATGTTGCAATTCTCTTTCAAAATTCCTTTAAGGTTCTAAATGCTATTATAGTAATGCTATATTTTCTAATACATGTTCAGATTTTTTGTTAGACAATGCTGGGCTATTTTACTTTGTTTATGTTTTAAATTCTACTGACTACTAATCTGTATCTCTGTACCACTTGCTCGGGGCTTTGCAATCAAAATGGTGGTGTCCTGCCATCTGCAGGCAAAATGAAGATTTTCCTGACTTCTGCAGCCCAGATGGAGTCTTTTCATTTCCTCACTTGAAAAATGGATGTTTTTCCACCTTCCGTGGCCTGATGTACAGTATACATCATTTTAGCACATTTTTCAAATAAACGTCAGTGGCTGTAGTCTTAGCCAATCCTTTCATCAAACCTGTGGTTTAATTTATGTTTCTTCTGAATTTAGCACAATCTTAATTTTTTTTCTATGTTCTTCCATTAATTAAATTGTGCTTTTCTCACCTTAAATGTGCTCCATGACATTTCCAATGCTGTACTGTTAACATACATTAATTCAATGACACTTGACTTCTCTACTGAAGCTCTGTCTCTCAACGTGTGCTGGCTGTGACACTGATGCTCATTGTGAACAGTAAAAGCTCCTTTTTTATCTTTATCCTTCTCAATGTGGTCCTTTAGCTAAAGCTTTTCTCTTTTCTGCCTACAGGGATCTTTACATTTATTGACACAGGCCAAAAGCAGTTGTTGCCCAACTGAAGCTTGCATTGAGACTGCCCCTACAGGTTGTTTTTCTTTAAGAAATCCTTACCTGCACAGTGTGTCAAATTTTTTACTCTCATGCTAACCAACATTGTCATTTCTGTGATAACACAGTGTAGAGCTGGAGGAACACAGCAGGCCAGGCAGAATCAGAGGAGCAGGAAAGTTGACATTTCAGGTCAGGACCTTCGTTAGAAATGGGGGAGGGGAAGGGAGCTCAGAAATAAATAGAGAGAGGAGGGGTGGGCCTGGAGAAGATAGGTGGTCAGTGAGGTGGGAGGAGCGGATAGGTGGGAGAAAAGATGAACAGGTTGTGTCAGGTCAAGGAGGCAGGGATGAGAGGGAGGGTTGGTCATGGGATAAGGCCGAGGTGGTGAGATTTTGAAACTGGTAAAATCCACATTTAGGCCATTGGGCTGTAGGCTTTCGAGGTGGAATATGAGGTGCTGCTCCTCCAGTTTCCAGGTGGTGTCATTGTGACACTGGAGGAGACCCAGGATGGACATGTTGCCCAGGGAGTGGGAGGGGTAGTTGAAGTGGTTTGCTACTGGGAAGTGTTATCATTTGTCACGAACAGAGCGCAGGTGCTCTACAAAGCGGTCTCCGAGCCTCCTCTTGGTCTCAACGATGTAGAGGAGGCCACATCGGGAGCAGCAGATGCAATAGACACATTGACAGATGTGCAGGTGAACCTCTGTCTGATGTGAAAGGTTTGTTTGGTACCTTGAATGGAGGTGATGGTGGGGGGAGGTGTAGGGGCAGGTGTAGCACTTCCTGTGGTTGCAGAGAAAGGTGTCGGGGATGGTGGGGCTAGTGGGAGTATGGAGTGGATGAGAGAGTTGCAGAGAGAGCGGTCCCTACAAAAGGCAGATAGGGGTGGGGAGGGAAATATATCCTTGGTTGTGGGGTCAGATTGTAGGTTCGGACTTGGCAGAGAATGATACATTGGATACGGAGGTTAGTGGGGTGATACGTGAGGACAGGAATTCTTGTTCTGGCCTGCTGTGTTCCTCCAGCTCCACACTGTGTTATCTCTGACTTCAGCATCGGCAGTTCTCTCTATCTCTGACTGTCATTTCTGTGCCTTTTATGATCCCTGAGGTAAAAGTTTTAGATGGAGCACTGCCTTTGTCCTGCTGTTCCTTCCCTGTGTTCCCCTGACTGCTTTTCTGTTTGTGCTTATAGCTGCTAACTGATTGAGTCTTATGAAAACAGTAATGCCCCTAAAATGGTAAAATCACTTGTCTCCTGAAAATTTGTTCCCTTGGGTTGATTTCTTTTCACCATTATCACCTTGAGGTACTGCTGATCACCATGTTGTACATACAGTATGGAACCAATGACTACCAGTGAATGGTTTGGGAAGAGTTCTGCCTCCAATCCTTCTTTCTGTACTGGTTCTAAAGGTGTGTATGGTTAACCGTGGAGGAAGAGGGACATCTGGCAGTTATCAACAAGAGGAAGTTGTCTTAACAACAAAATATAGTTTATTGCATGAAAGTAATAGATACATGTTTACATTGGCTAATTGGACATAATTAATCAGAAGCCAGGATGACATTTCTGAGCCAATGGGATCTTGATCTGGATTCCACACTTCTTCACTGCATGGTATCAACAGATTAGGTGGAGCCTGATGAACTCTCCAACATGAACCTTTTCAGAGCTACTACCTGTATACCAGAAGACTCACCTAGTTGAGACAAAGTCTGCAAAATAAGGGAAGCCTTTGTAATTGGAGACGATTATAAGTTAATGTAGAAAATGATTCATAACGGATTGCACCTTGAAATTTTCTAGAGAAACTGGAATAAGAAGAAGGTGGGGCCCTGTTAAAGATGGGGTGGGGGGGGAAGCAATGCTCAAAGTACACAGGATGACAGATGAATTTGACCCCAAATACTGGCCCCTGAGCAGTCGAAGAAAAGTTGTTTACATGAGTAAAATGGTTATAATCTCTAAGGAACTAATCATAGACTGGTTCTTAAAATCTTGGTCCACCTCTCCTGAATTCTAAACTCCTCCCTGTCCTCAGCCATGCAACTTTGTATAACTCCTCTTTGGATCTAATACTACCCTGAATTTATTTTGTTAGTCATGGTTGGGTCACTTTTTCCATTTTGCCCAAAAGATGAGTATAACTGTTGCAAAGCATGCACTTGTTTCTTAAATATTAACCATTGCCTATTTACTGTCATGCCATTGTAATGCTATCGATTACAACCAGCTTATCTGTCTTAGTAGTTTCCTTTGCTTAGATATAGGATCTCATTTTGTATTGGACTACTTCATTTTTTCATCCAGCAAAGAATTCTATCTTGTTATGGTCACATTTTTCCTAAAGAACCTCCCACAATATTATTATAAATTAACCCTTTCTCATTGCAGATTTGG